GGAACTCGGGAATGACGTACATGCGTGTGATGTATTTATTAGTGTTCGCTTCGAAATAAAATTTTCAGTTGCTAGTAAGCGCTTGTCTGTGTCCTTTCTAAGTGTGTGTATTTTTGCGCTTGTTTCATCATGAACCTTTACCAACACGCCCAACTGGCAGTCATCCTAGAAGTTATTATATCTACGGGGATGTGGTCACCAGCCCAACTTTCGATTCTGTTGCAGATGCTTCTGTACTATCTGTGGGTAAAAAGGAAAAGAAGAAAGTAACTACACCTCGATAGGTGCGGTTCATACGTCAAGTCGACGAGAATAACCGATCGCAGAAAGATACACCCCGCTTCGGAAAGTAAATAATCCGGCAGAATACGTGGACTTACCTTTATCGTTTTGTCGCTCCCGAATTTGAACGACGGCTTGTGCGGGTATTTGCATGGTCGGGAAGGTGCAATACTTGGATAGTGTTCACGACGCTGTACGTGCATTCCGATGTACCAGGCGTTGGAAACTTCTTCAAAAAATACACCGCACACGGGTTTCTCATCACCCAGTGAGGGTATAATACGTGCTAGAGTCAATGAGCTATGATGTAGCTGTGCTAACGATCCCCCAAACGACAGCCATGTTGAACAGGGACTTTAATGTTGAACTTACACTAGCGCCCTCTCTAGGCGGTGAAAGTTGCGAATACGGTTAATGCCCAACCCCTGCATCCATCTACCAGCTAGGCTAGTGAGCCGCTCTCTACGAATCAACATTAACCGGAACCTTTCAGCGCGCAGACGATGCGCAGTTTTCGTCGGCCTCTCCCTTCGCTCAGAAACCGCACAAAGCCGCCGGCGTTGACAACTGGCCACATGCGGCTGAGGCAAGAGAAGGGGGGTGTGTGGTGCGTCCGGCCATTCCGGTGCGCTTGGGCGGGGTGGCCAGGGGCGCGGTCGCTCCTTCCCTCGCGGCCTCCCCGTGCCGCTTTGCGAGCGAGATGAAAGGCCAGCCGCTCGCGCTTTTGTTGTGCCCGCCTCGGGGCCTTTGAATGTGTGCGTGTGATCTGCACTCTAAGCCGAAAAGGGGTCTATGGTTTGTCCTTTTGGGGGGTAATTAGCTGCATTGCCACAACCATTACTCCCCAAAGAATGAACGAGTCGTCCTTTCAGCAGTAACTGTCAGGGGACGACCTGTTAGTCCTGAGTAGTTTTGAGGGACGAAATGTCAAGGAGTAATAATTACCGTTTTATGCGAGGAAGTGACTGCGTATGCACTCTAAAAAAAGAGCGAGTAAAAAGGGTGTCTTTTTGTACCACAACAATAATCGTCATCTATATTGCGTTCCATCCTTGCGCTATCGCCCCGTGCCCGATATATTCCGGTCACGATCGACATGGCCATTATCAAGGTTATATTGCATTCTCGATAGGAAAGTGGCCAGCGCCGAGTTTTCAAGAAAGGAAGCGCACGCAAGCCTGATGACGATTATTGTTGTGGGACAAAAAGACAACCTTTTTACTCGATATTTTTTTTAGAGTGTGGACGAACTGTTAGTCCCATCATGAGTAACGGTTGCTCCTTCTCGAAAAAGTAGAGAAATAAATTTATTATGAATTACCGAGAACTTGGAGGTCGACAAATGCATTTTAGAAGATATACAATCAATACACAAGAAGTAAACTACAGAAAACTCATGACAAATACCAAGGATTCGAACTTGTGACCATTGAATCAATCGCGTACGTATTCTTGTAGGTACAGTCTAGACGCTGCGCGTTGTCCCATGTTGCTCACACTAGGAATATTCCTTATATTGGAGTTAAGCATTCAGTGTTTGACAAGCAACCATTCGGTGATGACGTTCGTGAAAACGTAAAATGCTTTTAATAGGTATTTCTGCGCGCGTGCTTCGAGCGCATTTGTGTGCTTGATGAGTGTGTATATATATATATATATATATATATATATATATATATATATATATATATATATATATATATATATATATATATATATATATATATATATATATATATTGCCGCATGTTTTATTGTATATATTGCCGGCGCTGTATTTGTTCGTTACAACATAAATATTCCTATATATGTTGCCGTCGCTGTGTAAAGCTTGCTGTTCTCTTATAGTACAGAGCGTGGTTTGTTGTCGCTCAGCGAAAGTGTCTGTTTAGTACCAAAGAAAAAAACACACGAACGTTTAAAGAAACAAACAAGTTTATTCAGCGACTCGTGTCCATTTTGCACCATCGTGCGCACACATGAATTCAGCAACTTTTATGAGTACCAAAGGTAAAATGGCTTCCCTGCACTCTAGGAGAGACAATAAAAGATATAATGTTTATATGCCGACTTCAGGAAGTGCACCCGTACCATCGACAGCTGCTAAAAGAGTGTTCGTAGCCGCAAGATGTTGACTTTCTTTGGAAGACGCAGCGTTCTGTCATCGATTTCCTGAAAAAAAAGTAGTTGCACGAGCATTCATTATATCTGACAGAACTGTTCGTGCACTTGTAGTTACGTCCCATCGCGTCAGTTGGAAATGCCGCATGCGTAATAATTAGAGGGAAACTGCTTTTTCACAGCACCCGTCATAATGCAATCGAACAGTTCAGAACGTGTTATGTAGTTCAAGAAGCCCGTTCTCGAATTTAACGCTTCAATCTATAGCTGCGATACGCTTGTGGACCCACTTATTTATCAACGAGGCTTGCGCTTCATTTTAGAGATATAAACTCAAAACATATCTAGCATATCAAACGAGGGAACTCGCCGACGTAGTCACCAACTGCTTGTGTTAGCGGTGCCAAGCCAAGCTTTCCTAAATTACTTGCTTACCTTGCAAAAGATGACATTGTTTGGAGTTTAAGTGAACTTTCTTTTTAGAAGCCGCGAAAAGTTCTGACGAATAATGCTTATTTGTGCTGCACTGAAAACAAAACAATTTTTCAACAGCTGTACTTGCTACAGATAATGTTGAGCCCTCATCGAGGTTACCACGTCTCGATGGCCCATTCACCACGCTTGTAATTTTATAGCAGACGAGGCAGCACTCGCAACGCTGTGTAGCGCGAGCTAATCAACCATGCGGGCTTGGTTCGCGAAGAACGTGAGTTTTGAACAAGCGGTGATCGTTACATATCAGCAGGACACAAGTGAAATATCGCGGAGTGACGGCAGCCTTGTTTACACTCGCCTCTCAGGCGACATCCCTGTCGGCGCGTAGCATTTCGATAGACGTCAGACTCTGCCCTGGCGGCGCTTGTAGACTTGTAGCCTGTAGTGAACCCCGGGACGAAGCAGAGACTTTGTTTTCGCGCCATGAGAGTGCATACAGAAGCATTGGTGTCAGAGTGCCACCGCAATTTAAAAAAGAAAACGAGGACGAACGCGCCCGACGAAAACGTGCAAACAACGAATAAACGATTGCGCGCGCCCCCACACGGCTCCTCCTCGGAGGCTTCAGTGCTCTCCGTAGGCGCCGCTCGCCGCCCATCACACTTTCCTATTCCAGCCACTGTAGCCAGGCGCCGGTCCTGCCATATACTCGCAGGCGCGTGCCGTGCTGCGTTGCTTTGACGCATGCGCGTTTCAGCGCGTCCGGCGTCCCTCCGTCACGAAAAGAGGGAGACGCAGTGTTGTCTGGGTAACGCATAGGCGCCAAATGCAGCATGTCGCATTTCCCGCCGGGCCGCGCCGACGGCCGCTGGTCGCGCCTGGCGTCAAACTATAGAGTGCTCGCGTTTTGCTAACGTAGCGTCGCTGTGTCCAGCGTGCGTGTGCGTCAACGCTACATTAGACCTTTCATGATGCGCTCGCGGCCGTTTTGCTAGCTCCACATATACGAAATTTGGTATCACGTGACGTGAATAGATGACGAAGGTAAACGACACATCCAAACATGATAATCGTGACATGGAAATTATGTATGGCATCATTTACCTCCACCTCGTACTATTGTGCGGATTTTAAAATGACATATCAACCTTTCTCATTTGTGCTTCGCATATCATCGATTCCAACTGTACGTGGGATCTGCCAATTTTTATTATCCCCATTTTAATTGCGCTGATTTCTTTTTGTCTGCATTTTCGTTCTTTTTATTTGATTTTTTTCTGATGACTATATTGAATGGTTTATTTTTGTTTTATTATTGTGTGCATCTGCACTAAGGCCTTATGGTTTTTTTCGGCAAATTAAATACACGATTTTATTATTATTATTATTATTATTATTGTTGTTGTTGTTGTTGTTGTTGTTAATCAGCATCATTATTTCTGAAAGACCTTTGATGATATTTGGGCAGTTTAATTAGTCTGCTGTCAACGCCCAATAATCAAAACAGGACACAGAAGAGGGAGGAAGTTAAGGCGGCAACGGGGCAGGGGGATTGCTCAGAAAGTTGAAAGCAAATCACTACTTTCTTAGTGCGTGCGTGTCACGCTGTGTTTGTCCTTCCTTGTCTTGTGCAGTTGACGCGTCCTTCTTTTGTGCGACTGTTGCACGGCTGCATGAAATCTACAGAACCGAAACTAATCGCTGCAGAGCGCAACTTGCACTTGCTACTACAATGTTTGCTGTTCGCAGATTAGCAGGCTACTTAGAACTAAAAAAAAAAAACTAAAAAGAATACTACAATCTTAGAACGTTGAGCTCAAAATGAAGTGCTTTTACCCACGATATGACTTTCGGGAGTGGCCTCGAATGCTGAAATTTACTTCTCGTACAGTCACTGCCAGGTGTTTTTTTTTTGTTCTCATGGGTGAATATATATATATATATATATATATACGTGCGTTTTGTTAGGTGGTGGGTGAACTGCCATGTTTCAGTGAATGCGTTTGTGTTCGTAACAGGCGTTGTGCAAACTAGCTGCGGTGGAAGCAGACCGCGATGGTCTTTTGCCGCCCCCCTGTTTTCATCTTGTGTCAGAAAGGCTTGCCCTTCATTCGCCCTTAAGCGCGGAGTTTGAAACTGACTAGTCCCACTTCTGCGATGCAGAACTGCCTGGCGCGGGCGCTGTACGACAACATCGCCGAGTCTCCGGAGGAGTTGGCCTTCCGCAAAAATGACGTGCTCACAGTGCTGGAGCAGAACCCGGGCGACCTGGAGGGCTGGTGGCTGTGCGCGCTCCGAGGCCGCCAAGGGTTGGCCCCGGGCAACCGGCTGCGGCTCATGCCCGGCATGTATGACCCGACGGGCTTGGGTTACGCCGCACCAACGGGGAGCCCCGACCTCGCGGCCACTGTGCCCCTGGTGGCGCCCGCGGGCACATACCCAGGGCCCGGTCAGCGTCACGCACGCCGCCGTTCGTGGCGGGTGGACCCCAACAAGGTGCGTGGCACCGCAGGGAGGTCTTCTTTTAAGTGCGTAGCACTGTAGGGACTCGGCTTGTCGTTCATCCACCGACTCATGTCTCGGGGTCGTTCAGGGGTCAATACAGGCATAAAGCAATGATGACAATGCTCAAAACCAATGCAAGACAAGTTGACGAGGCAGTGGCAAATGCCAAGGGAATCGCTACAGCTACTAACTTCCTCGGGTTTCATGGTATAGTGCATCTGCATTAGGCGCAGGGTTTAGAACTGCACTGAGATTACACAAGAACGACATTTAGTGCAATGCTTTTTTTTTTTTAAGTAGAAGGTGCGCCATGCATAGAAGAATGCCTGAAAGAGATTTACGCAATGGATGGTCTTTATCAGCATTTCTTTTCTAACAACTTTGAGCCTTATGCAATGCTGCTCGTTGTTTTACCATGTTTTTGAAGCGCTTGTGTGCCCCATAAACGCCATTGCACTTTCTTTTATGGTGCATTTTACATACTTTTATCCCAGCAGTATATACTACAGGTTCCTTTTACTCTTAGTCCCCCACTGAATTGTGCACGTTTCATATACTGGGCATTTCACGAAATGTGTCTAAAATCCTCAAAAATGTGGTATTTCTTTTGATGCCTTCATGATTACTTCTTGTCTAGGTGCTGGTATCTTAAAATGGTTAAAGATACTCCTAGGACAGTAATTAAGAAAGTTACATAATGTGTTGATTTGTAGAGTTAGGCATTTATGTGAAATAGGACAATTGAGGTTCTTCATGCAAACAAGCCATAGAAGATTTGAGATACAGAAGTAGCGGCCTCTAGTTATTATTATAGTATAATGAATTTCAACCAAACACAACTGTGGAACCAAAGTACCGATGAGCACAACTAGCAGATGACTGCATTGATGTCACGTTTCAAGACAGCTACAGACTGTAGTTTTTCTGCATTTATTAATGTATGTGGGTCATGTGTGTTATAGTTGCAAGTGCAGCCAGCACACCCTCACAAAAAAGTCAGTTGATGACGTTCCTTCATTCTGGGTGTCTAAAAAGAATACGGCAGTTTTGCTCTCCAAGTGTGTTTCAATTTCGCTTCCACATTGAATTTGGGGTAAGTTCATTGCTTCATAATTATTACTAAAGGTCACTTTTTCAAAACCTCAAAGCTTCAGTAGCATTTTCACATAGAGTATTTTCATTCTGCTATTCACTAATTCCACTAATAAAAAAGGGTTAACTAATTTAACTTCCTTAATTACTGTCCCAAATCATTTCTGTCACCATCTTAAGGTGCTTGTGGCTACAGAAGCGCTTGTGAAGGCATCAAACAAATATCACATTTGCTTGATTTGTGTGCATTGTCAATGTGCAATGTGTCCTGCAACAACGAACATATTGCTATCGTTGCAGCCCAAGGCTTCTGGCAGTTAGCTATGTGTAGTCATCTATCCTCCTTGGAGGTGATGATAACATTGTAATAAAAGCGGCCTAATTGTTTCATGTACTACTTTTTACGTAGCTGGTCAGGATTAATTGAAACAGTTGAACACAACTTTATAAACAAAATTTCATTATAAAGTTTTTTCCTTTAAGTTTCAATGTTGATATTATGTGCAGTTACATGCCTAGATCCTCTATATCATGCCTAATGTAAGCTGTCTTTACGTATCACAGAGTTTGTGCTTCACGCTATTTGTACATGCTGCTAGTCTACTTCTTTTCTCTGTCGTGAGTCAATCTTTTTTTTTCTGTACAGGCACCTATGTACATTTGCCGCCTCCATAATTTCTCTCATATTTCTAAGCTGCCTTGCTGTTAACATGCTGTCCTACACTGCTTCATTTGTTTTGACTTTCTCCATAAAAAAATTCCTTAATCTTGATTTCTTTTAGGACACAACATTTAGCTTTTCTACGCGTGGTTAAAACTATGGCTCATTTCCTCAAGTTTCACATTACATCATCCGCCATAACACAAAGTGCAAACATTTAACTTCATTATTTCTATTTTAGAAACCTTTCATGGTCAATCTTTCCTTTTAGGTATCTGAATGTTAATGCTCAAGAAGAGTAAATAATGTGATTTATGTCAATTTAGCACTATTAAAAGTGAATTCTCTTGACTTCCTTGTCTGTATTGTGCATTCGCAAAAGTAAAATTATGAATGAGTAACAAGTTCAAGCAATATGCAATGATAAGAAGTTCTGAGAAAGGTAATGGGCTTCAGCTAACAAACCATATTAAAGTTATTTTGGTTATCTTTCAGAAATAAATTACAATTAATATTGTTTTTGTTTTGATTCAATGAAAGTTTAATGCACAGTCAAGTTTCTCCGAGCTCTGATAAGTGTTCCTAGTTAAAATCGATGTACAAAGCTTGGGCATAAGTGAGAGCTGCGCAGGAACCTTGTGATGGATAAATTATTCTGTGAATTGCATAACATTTTTCTGCTAGCTATCATATGATCAAAATAGGCTCTTTTGCTAAGGCACCTTTATATTTTTCCGATGTGCAGGTGTTTCCAACATTATGGACCTGTGCACAACTCTGACTTTCTAGGCGAACCATATGCGAGAACGTGTAGTTCAATAACATTTCTGGTGTGGAGATGACCCTCCTGATGATACCTTGAACTCTGCCATGTTTGTAAAAGCATTAAAAAAAAGTTAAAATACCATTGCATATATGCAATGCACGCACAATAGCACACATGCATAGTCCAGCAATGATGGGCCGGTTTATCGACAAACTTGTACCCACAAGGAAAAAACAATAAAAGGGACCCACTTAGCGGTAATGAAACAGCACGAGTGCAGCTTAGCAACTGATGGGACTGGGGGGAGATCTCTGGCACCTGTCTTATCTTAATGCACTTCTCTATCTGAGAAAAGGACACTGTACTACAACAAATGGATGCAATAGCAAGTGGGGAACAAGACACTGTGCCGCAACAACCAAGTGCAATAGCAATAAAAGTTTGCTGCAAAGCGAGCCAGTTAAATAGCTGCAATTACAAAGGCTATGCCAATGTGTTTCAGAATAGTGAATAATGTTGCAAGGGACCATCACAGCCTTCCGAGGTTGGGTTTTTTCAGAAACAAGCATCTCCAAATCATGATGCTCATTTGCGAAAATAGCTGTTATAGTGCAATAGTATAGAGTAAAACTACTAGTCATATTCTTTTGCATGAGAAGTAATCATAATTTTATGACTATGATAACAGGAAATATAAAAGTTACAAGAAAAGCATCACAACTGGCGTGGTATGTGGGACCGTTACTTTGTCTCTACAAATCAATGCACCAGCATACTGTGCCATGACGTTGAGTGGCAGTGGCTCATGTGGCACCTGCCGTTTGTGCTACAGTGCACAGAACCTTGTTTGATCTACAATGTGGTTGAACAGTGGTGCTGGGAGTGAAGCCAAGGAAAAAGTGGGCATTGTTGCTGTATCTTGCACCAAAAAATGAAATAACATTGAATAAAAAAGAGTGCAGGGCTTTGGCTTGAGAAACTCTGCCTGTAGAAAAGGAGCATTGTGCGGGGGGTTTGTAATCTTATTAACCCGGAATGCTTTCACGTTAATCACCAATTGCATCAGTGTAATCACCAATTGCATCATTTCCAGAGCTTGTCCTATTGTAGGCGAGATCTGTATTCATTGTCTATTTTCCGAAAGTTCGACAGGTATTGCAGGCATATTACTACCATTTCAACCATCAATATAGCCACTGTGAGCGAGTGGGCATAATATGTAGTGTGCACTGCACATTTGGCCATGTAATACAGCAGTGTACTCTGGACATTGCACAGTGTAATACAGCAGTGCAGACTGTGTAGTATGCAGTGTAATAAAGCAGTGTACTCTGGACATTGCACAGTGTAATAAAGTAGTGTAGACTGCGTAGTGTGCAGTGTAATACAGCTTCTCTTATTTTTTCATAACCGCAATACCCAAAGATTGAATTCTCTTTGTTAGCCTAGTGCATTTTTTATCACTTGTGGCTTGAAATTGCTGGTACTGTATTGTTTGCTGTTTGTTTATATTTTTACTTTTTGTTCACAGGTCATTACACCTAGCAAAGTTGGAGATGTGTACCTGTATGATGTCCCAGTAGGTGCCAAAGTTACTGAAGAGTATGATACTCCTACTCATTCCACGCTTCCAAGACCCTCAGGCCATGTTCACATAGACACCATAGTTCCAGGTGGGCTCATTGTTCTGCCATGTATATAGTAATTATTATATCTTTCTTTTATTACTACTGCAAATTAGAAAGAAAAGTGATGAAAATTACTTGGGAATGAATTAGAAAGTGGCATATAAAAAAAAATGTCATAGCCAATGCTATATGATATTCGAGGTTGGCTTGTAAGTAAATAACCTGGTGAAGACTTGAAATGTATGTGGGCTGAGGAAAAAAAAACAATATGAACTGAATGTTGTATGTTTCATTCAATGCTTTTGTACATGAACATTTGCATGAACTTGATGGAGTGGCACATCGGAGGATTAGAAACAACATAGAGTGTGAAGACTTTTTTGGAAGAATGGGCTTATCAGTTCAATTATTCATTACTGCTTGAGCAATTAATCAGAACCGCCACATGTTGCACATGCATCTGCAGGCATTCTAGAGACCTATAGACCATTTGGAGGTTGGCTTTTCCGGATAGCTCATTCACTTGGCGGCTTAGCCTGCCAGATATGTAAAACATGAATTTAGGGAGGATGAAAAGGTATTAACATGACTGCTCTTACAAGGTGACAATTACATGAAAAAAAAACAACAACTAATAAGTCTATTATTTTTTCATCAGTGTGAAAGTCTAAACACATAATATCATGCTACAGTTGGTGTATCCCTGCATCAAATGAACCCAAATATCATGTCCACATCAGGGGCAGACCCAGCCACGCATTTTAGGGGGGGTAGGGGGAATTAAAACCAGAAAGGGAGTGGGGCAGTCCTGGCTCCTTTGTTTTCAGTAGTTACTATGATCACAAGAACCCCATCACAGCACAAATGCTGTTAATTTGTGCTCACAGTGGTCCCACTGATTTGTCCTAATTGGTGATAGGAGATAGACAACAGGCATTGAAGGGAGGAGTGGGGATGCTAAAACAGGCTTTAGGGGGTGTTTTGATTGCTCCTACTGCCCCTCCCTTTGAATCTGCCACTGGCCCACATGTACGTATACTAGGCAACTTAAAACTGTAGGCTTTGATGTGCGTTTTTGGAACCTCACATGTGTGAACCTCATGAGCTTCACATGACTTACTGTTGTTTCAGAGAAATGGCATTCTGTTTACTGGGCCTTTGCTATTCTATAATTGTGGGACACATTGTGAATATTGAGGAGGCATTTATTTGCAAAGACTGCCTCTTTCTCGAGCACTTGGTCTGCATGGGCTATAAAATTTACCCGTGAGAAAGTTTCTCTGATGCTTTTTGCACAAGTAATTACGTTGACTCACACCTTCTGTAAATGTCACTCTTTTGCCTTGCACCACAAAACTCTACTACTAAATGTCACTCTTTTTATTTGTCCAAGAACATAAGTCAACTGCTTTTCCATCAGCATTATCAACCATCAGCGTACCATAAACTTGGCATTAAACTACCTTCCCTGCTGTACTGAAAACAGAAGCGAAATGTTTGTCATTGTTATGAAACCAGGTCTCAACTATAGTCTAAACAAAAGGCCTACTCTGAATCAATTTTACCGGCCAGTCACTTAGCAAAATTCTATCCCCTGTGCTATTATCCCTTAATCTCTTATTTAAAAAATTGAAAAGCATTGTGCAGTGACATAGATCACTGCATATCACTGAAAACATGTATGACGTAGTATATAGAGTGTAGAGGCTGTAATCTTGCCTAGGCCACTATTGTGACTGTTATGAAAAGCATATAGGTGTGCTTTTAGGTTTTTGTGGCTTTTTGGAGGATAACAACTATCTGCAGCAGTTCTGTTAGAAAGCTGGAGGATTTCGTGTTACTACACATTAGAAAGCACAATTCACTGAACAAAACACCAATGAAGGAAAGAAAGTAATGTTGGTACGTATACTGTATGAGATATTTTGATTGTGGCTTCACCTGTGCATTAGGCCAAAAATGAAATTCAATAAAAAACACAGCTCGGTGTACACATCACTGTGATATTTTTAGACTGATAATGCCATAGCATGAATATTTGTAAAGAACTATAGGAGCCACCTTAATTTCCTTGGCTGTTCGTGGTCTGACATCGTGATGTGGTGTATGTGCTGTTTTATAATTGAGAGTGCTATGATGTTAGTTGCCAGTTGTGATCACTCAGTGCAGTGGTAGTAGTCTTGGTTGCTTGATAAGGTATGCTTCAACTTTCCTAATATTTATCCTTATCTCAATTTGCTTGAACTTTGCTGCTGTGCTTAGGCTTTGGGCCAAAAACTTTGCATGGAATCGGACAGCATCGCCATGTTGGGTTTTACGAAGTTAATGAAAAAATAGTAAAGAAAAACAGTGGTAGACCAAGTAAGTTTAAAGAACAAATGTTGATGATGTAAAAGCATCATGAAATGGATGACATAGAAAAATGAGCCCTTCTCAATAGAAATTTTTGAAGAAAACAAAACTTCACTATTTGTTTATTTTTGAATAGTAAGGCACCAGCCAGTTGATTTTTTTATGAGCGATTGAGGAACATTTGTTTGGACAGCAGGAGAATGTGTCGAGATTGTGCTCAGGTATTGCTGAATTATTTCTTATGGTGTGATCACCAGGCATTGCATCATATATTAGTCAGCATCCATTATAATGTCAATCATATAAGCAGTTGATATGCCCTCATTGTACTACAGCCCTTTGGCTCTTATTGTATTGCATTAAACTGTTTTTCTTTCTGCATTACAGCTCCTCAAGATGGACGGAAACCAATGCGCGCATTACCAAACGTGGCTTATGATGAACCACGTCCTTCCAGTTTATCGTATGATTTACCTCGGCCTTCTGTTAATGCTCGTTTAGAACTTCCTTCATCCACAACAGCTGGTGAGTGCTGGTTTGGAATCACATCTTTTAATTTTTAAAGGCCAACTTTCTATTTGCTCCTGGGGCTTCAGTAGTTGGTAGTGTGTGACTTTTCGCTGTATAGAATGCATTCACCCCACAGGGGCGTCTGCGCAAGCTGATGTTTGGTGTGTAGCAACACCACAGACCCAAGCCAATGGGCGGGTTTCGACTCCCTCCCATGCTTCGCTGTGCGTGGCTTAGCCATGTTTGGGGAAAAGGACATCCTGTGGGTTGAGCTGACGCTGGGTGCTTCGACCTTTAAGGACCCCCGGCAGAGGCAACACACCCCTTTGGCCCCAGGTTCACGTAGACTGCACCCCTGGGCTGACCCACCCAGGGAAAATTGGCAGTCGCCTTTTCTTATTTCTCTCTTTTATTTACTTCCTTGTTTTCTGGGGACAAGGGTTAACCTTGTGTGGCTAACCACGCTGAGTTTAGCCACATGCGGTTATAGTAGTGGTGTACAGCTGGCATGGCCAGGTCTTGCATGTGAGTTCCTGTTCCGTCCCCTTGTTGGTCTCCCTGGTGGGTGGCTGCTACTGCAGCCGAGGCACATACAAACTAGATGGACTCTCCAGTCTTTGCACTTGATCGTCACCCTCAAAAGAGGACGTGAACTGATGTAACAGCAAAGTTCTTTACTAACAACAAATGCAGACATTCCCAAGATTCCACGTGATTCATAGCGAGCACACTGAAAGAACAGCGAGACATGTTTCCCCCTTCAAGGTATCCAGGACCCTAACCGACACCTTAGGGCAAGGATGTAAAATCAAGAAACTAGCTAATGGTGACCTTCTTTTATAACTACTCTACAAGCACCAGTTTGTGAACCTTTCAAAAATCACTGCCTTTGAAGACATTCCAGTGCCCATTATACCTCACCGAGCACTAAACACCGTCCGAAGCGTCATTTTTGATGATGACCTCAAATATGTGAGTGAAGAAGAACACCTAAATAGACTGAAGGACCAGAATGTCACAGATGTGTATAGAATAAAAATCAAATGAGAAAACAAGGAAATACAAACAAAGCACTTCATTCCCACATTTGCATCGAGCACACTACCACGAAGTGTGCAGGTTGGATATACCCAACTCAAACTACGCCCATACATACCAAACCTGCGACGCTGCTTTAAATGCTAACGATACGACCACGGTTCATGGAGCTTCAGAAGCCAAACCACATGTACTAAGTGTCCCTCTCACAAACACACTTCCGAAAATTGCAAAGTCAAACCACACCACTGCGTGAACTGCAAGGGTAGTCATCCTGCTTACTCGCGTGCTTATCCTACATGGAAATAAGAAAAAAAGCATTGTTACTCTCAAAACTAATGAAAACATCAGCTTTAGAGAAGCGCGGAAGCATCCTTCATTGATGGAAAGCAGAAGCTACTCCATTGTGCTGCAAGAGGGCGCGGCAACACAGCAGTCTTCAGCGCTTGCCCAGGGCACACATAGTGATGCTGGGGCAGGGCATCCAGCGCCCAGAGTGGATGCAGCTTCCACTGCACCACTACCTCAAACTCAGGCTGTGCGAACCCCAGAGTCAGGAGCCTCAAGGCCTCTCCCTACATGGCGAGGCTAAACGCGAAGAAATCCGTACAATCAGGACGGGCGTCCATCGTGTCAGGCGATGGGATGGACATGAGTCAGGGTAGTCCTGGATTGGCAACATAAGAATGATGGCAGTACTGCTTGGATCGAAAAAAGACAAGCCCAAAATCACAAGACCTGAAAACAAAACTTAGGTTTTTACACTACCTGTGAAATACAACATGGCTTTTATACACTGGAACTGCAAGGGACTCCTACATAACTTAAATGACATAAAGGACATACTAGCCACTCTTTTACCAGTAGCCTTGTGTTTACTAGAAACAAATTTAGATCCTAAACATAGAAACATCTTAAAAACTATAATGTATTCTGACACGACCAAGCGCAGGCAAGTAGGCTCTCAGTTGGTGTTGCTATTATAGTCAAGAGCGAAGTACCAGCGCGAGAACCTAAACTTAAAACCAGAGTAGAAGCTGTGGCGGCCACCATACACACATTTAAAATGATTACAGTGTGCAGTGTATACTTGGAGCCGCATCTTAAAAAATATCCATCTCTGATTTAGAACACCTTATAGAACAGCTGCCAGAGCTGTTCTTGGTGGTCGGAGATTTTAACGCACACTCTGATTTTTGGGGTAGTGAAAAATGTGACGCCAGAGGCCAAATCATTGAAGATTTTTTTTTTTAGCAATAACATATGCCTACTTAATGCAGGAAAACCAACCTACTGTTCTCCTAGCTCAAGAAAAATAAGCTGCATAGAGTTATCCTTTTGTTCACCTTCTGTTTTTATGGATTTCAAGTGGGACGTCTTAAATGACCCATACTTAAGCGATCATCTGCACATACTAATGAGCCAAACAATATCACCTCAAGTCATTCAATGAAAACCACAACGTTGGAAGCTACATTTATCTGACTGGGGCCTCTTCCAAGAAAAAGCCAGCCTAGAATATATAGGGCCAGACAACCTCAGCATAGCCGAACTTAACGAATGTATCACAAGCTGTATTATTACAGCTGCCCGCCTATCCATCCCTCGGACCTCTAAACTCGTATAACATAATCACAAAACATGGTAGTACACATAAGAATGCAGAGAAGCAAAAAAGAAGCAAAACAATGCCTGGGGAACCTTTCGCAGGTACTCAACACCAGAAAACTTCGTAAATTTAAAAAAGGCCACAGCGAAAGCCAGATACATTCGTCGTAATGCTAAAAAATCCTTGTGGCAAAAGTACGTCTCTTCTATAAACAGCTCCACTACATCAAAGTAAATGTAGTGTACCGAAGCATAGTGGCGCCAGCTCTGTGCCAGCGTGAAAGAAGACGTTGACGACCGTGTGTGGCTCGTGAAGCTCTCACCAGTTCGCTGAAATCGTCCCCGCAGGCCCAGTTCAGCACGAAGCTTACGCATGGCTAGCGAACTGTCTACAGTCTTTTTTTTTACAGTTTGAGTTTCGTTCTTCACGCAGCACGTGTAGTAGGGTGCGGCAAAAAGTGCTGAAGCAGTTTCTTTGTTGTTCAAAGAGGCTGAAGACCACTACGTTTCTTGATTTGCTGCGATGTTGTGGCTTTAAGAGTCATATTTGACAGTTTAAACGAAGCGTCGTCACTCACCGCTGCGCATTGATGTAGCGTCTCATGCCTGTGCAGGATATTGCATCAATCTCATGTTGTTTCACTAGTGCCTCTTGCGTGAACTCGTTTAATCTACTGCAATACGGTCACGAAGCTAAATAGATGCATCGTCACGCTCCACTGACTCTACTTCACAACAAAACCAGAGGTGCATTGGGGCCAGACCCATAGAGTTTCATACAAGTATTATATACTTGCATAAAACCCTATGGGCCAGACCACTTGGACAGATGCACCTATTGTCGCAGAAGACAAAACGTTAAGTGTTTCTCACTTAGTACTGTGCTGTTATTTCCATAAATATATAATGCATAATTTCAAGAGAAAAACAAACGTGTCGGTTTTCAAATGTTGTAAAATATAATTCATTAAATCTTGATGCCAAATCTGGAATGCAATGGCAGAGCAATGCATACCCTGATGGTTGAATTTGTCCAGGTTTCACTTTTTCTGCCTGGTCATGAACACTTTTTTCAATAAAGTTAGCAAAAATAAAAGAAAGCTTCAATTAAATATAGGTTCATAACACTTGCACTCAGAAAAGAAGCGTCACGAATCTCAAAAACGTCATCCATACGAAGCAGATTCGAAGCCTGTACTTTCCATAATTCCCATGGGGGACAAGCGTCGCTGAAGGAGCCCGCGTAGGCAGTAGTGCCAGATTCCCCTCTAGGTATTATTATATGAAACTCTATGCTTCCAACAAGCAGCCGTATAAATGAACCTTGCAACTGCCTAATTACTTCTCAAGAAATCCACAAAGTATTGACTGCAGGAAAGCAGACCACACCGGGACCTGATGAAATACACTATGAAATGCTAGCCCATCTCTCCGAACCGGCCTCAGAAACACTCCCGACATTCTTTAACAAAGTGTGGATATCTGAAAATTGCCTGATGCCTGGAAGGGCATTATTGTTTTTTTTTTTTTTTTTTTGAAACCGAAAAAACCACCAATCCATTCAAGTAGCTACAGACCAATAGCACTCACCAGCTGTCTCGCAAAGTTCTTCAAAAGTGTTGTTACTATCTGTCATTCATGTTAGAATCATACAAACTCCTCAACATTCGTCAGTGGGGTTTTAAAAAATCGTGCTGCACAACAAACCACCTAGTACGCCTCAAACATACTGTCCATAAAGGGTTTATACACAAACAAAACTATCTGGCCATTTGTTTGTTTTTTTATTTAGAAAGGGCATACGATACCACCTAGAGGTTTGGAGTTCTCCAGGACTTGGCTGAGCTGGGAATCTGCAGAAAGATGTTGAACTGCCTAAAAGACTTTCTATATAACCGTTCATTGCAGGTGCGCCTAGATTTGACGCTATCGAAACATTTCACTCAGGAAATCGAAATGCCACAAGGATGCATTTTAAGCACGACACTCTTTGTCGTGAAAATGAACTCGATCAGCAAAATAATACCAAAGTTCATTATGTATTCACTCTACAGTTGATGACCTTCAGATAGCCAGCACATCTTGCACATCAGCACATCAACGTGCGAAAAACAGGTACACCTAACATTTAACATACCGGCAACATGGGCAGACAGAAATGGTTTCCACTTTTCCGCGCAAAAAATGTGGCCATTCTTTACTCGCTCAAACGAGGTGTACAGACAGACCCGAATTTACACCTAAACAAAACTGACTTACCAGTTAAGAAAGAACACAAATTCTTGGGTATAGTTTTTGACCACAAGCTTACATTTCTGCCACATATAAAAGCGTTAAAGAAAAAAGCATCCCGATTATAGTATCGTGCG